ACATTGTATGCAATAATTTAATTAGAAACCTATAAGTATGTGACGAGATAAGCGACTATTGAAGTGTTAGCTAGTATTTTCTAAAATATTTTTCATGTTCTTCGAATAAAGCAAGATATAAAAGATGTTTCATGAGTTTCGACCTTATTTTTATTTCTTACTAGTTGTCCTATATTAAGATGAATAGGTATTGACGATTTATTTTTGAAGAGTGGCATCTAAATAATCCTTCAAGAGAAATTGCATTCAATTTGCATCAATTCTGAGAAAGTGCTGTATTAGTAAGAGTATTGGAACAATTTTATCAAGTGTTTTTTTCTTTTAATATCAGTATTTTTAAATATGAAAGACTTTTGCATGAAAACCTGTGTCGAAAATATCTAAGTATTACAAGTGACTCAACCTGATAGTTATTCGTTAATTTTGAGATAAGAATAGAATTATAGTGAAATAAGAACAACCAATTGCTCTCTTATTACAAGTGACTTGTGTCGTTCTGGTATCGTGACATCCTAACAATGTAAGAGAATATTTGAATTTCTATTTTTCTCGTGTCAAAAAAAATCAATTAAAGATTGCCAAGCTGCAGTGACATTTAGTAAGTCATAATGAACCATTGTGATTTGCTTCGTGGGAATCGTCGACGCATGTAACTCCGTGTGACACATATTAATTAAACATTTGTTTCTCTAGTTCGAGCACGGCATTATGGACTTTTATTTCCAATATATACGCGAAAACAAATTTTCTCTCACTTGAATAGCATATAACAAGAGCAGAGCCATAAAACTGACTCATAGTGAGTGAATAGCTGCTATTTTTCTTAAGTTTAACAGGGAAAAATTGAAAAAAACTTGATACAACTTTTTCAATATTCTTACTAATGTAGTACTTTTTTAGAGTTGAGACAAATTGAGTGAAAAATAAAATAAAAATGAATTTGATACTTATGAAACACCCTCTATGTTATATATTTCTTCCATTTATTTTATATTTGGTATTATTGTGAAAGAAAGAAAATTTGTCTCTCATGATAATATCTGATTTATATAAATCTTTATTGATTTTCTTTTTACATTCTCGGTCTACTTATCAAAGTCATAAAAACTACAAGGAGATGATCGATAGAAAAAAACATATCAATGGAAGAATTTCACTTTTTGTCCATCATAGTATACTAAAAATGTATTTTAATTGCAATAAGTATTATTGTCAAAAACAATATCACGAAGAAAAATTTGAAGATATTTTCTGTTTTCAGAAATCAGAAACATATCTTTTATGCTGCCGCAAGAGAAAAGAAAGCAACGGATTTTTTTTCGTATAATAAAACTGTAAAACGTTTCAAAAAAGAAGTCGTTGCCATTTTTACTCGCTTTGTTGACGATGAAATTCAAACAATGACGAGCATTTTTTGCATCGTTTATTCTACTTGATGTTCTAGATCTTGTATATTATTCTGATGATTAGCATCGATCTAAAAGTCCTTCGCATTATTAATCGTCGATTAATTTCCGTATTGTCAGTATCTTAATCAAAATGAAAAGCAAGGAACTTCATCTATCAGATTCCATGAGAATGTTTAAAATAACACCAGCTCATTTTTTGAAGATTTCATTCAACATTGTTCAAATATTGGTATATTTCAAACATGCTATAGCTGTTGTTATTTTATTTTCTATATTTGCTGAAATGCATAAAAAATTGCGACTAATTGATGAGTTCGATGAATGTGACTTGAAAAAAAAAAGTCAGATGATTTCTTACTTATCAACTGAAAGATTCAAATCGTTTTATTTAGTCAAATAAAATTGAACAAATATTTGTCAATGTAGTTGGAGTCGCAAAATGATCGATATGATTACTTATATATAGAAGATGAACTTGTTGAGTATGAACGGAGTATTGTGAAATGACACATATTGTTTGAATGATTTGTCACATTTTACGGGTTTAATATCGATACATAGTTTTGATGAAACCAAGAAAACACATTGTGACGGATGCCGTTGCCATAGTTCATGCGCCTTCAATTGAATAGCAAATAGTATAGTTTAAATGATGTCAAAAAACTCAAGTGTTATGAAAGTCAGTGCTCATTAATTGAATATATTTATTACTAAATCAAGATCTCAAGAAAAAACATTGTTTATCAACGATATCTCTCATAGAAGATTATACAAAACATCATTGTGTAGCTGTATTCTTTCATATATACTTATATAATGAAACAATTAACAATATTAGGAAAAATTTTTGCTAGAATTAAACAAAATATAGCAGTTTACAGTACTTTCGTTGAGAACAAACGTTTTTATTAGTCGTAGATTAACGTGTTGATTTGATGCAAATCAAATGTAAAAACGTCACATGTTAGTAAATGAATTTTCTCGACAACTATCAAATCCTCTGTTCATCATTCAACTCTAATTTCGATAGAATAGGGTAAAGATGATTTCTGTATATGTAGCAATTAAGCTATTACGCATATGTGTCTACTAATTTCTCACTTCAATAAACTTTTCCATCAGATAGGTATCAAAATTTAGATTTACGAATAAATAGTGGGAAAGGTTAATATTATAACTAAAGAATTCGCATCCTATTTCAAGCCAACCGATTTGAAAAATATTTTGGACTTCTAACTTATTTTGATGCTCACTTTCAATAACAAACGTAACATATTAGTTAGGTATTTCAACCACGAATTCGTACGTATGCATAAAAAATGATGCAAAAGTACCGGACAACATATCGCCCAACTTTTCATCGGCTAAAACATATTTCAAAAAAATCAAAAATACCTATTCAGAATTCATCTTGAGAACTCTTCTTAATTGAATGCTCACAAAAGTTCCATCATGTTTTTCTTTGATTAACGAGCACATCTGCAAACAACACTTAAATGTAGTCTGTAAAAGGTAGTCCACAATCGTTATACTAGAAGGGTTCGATCTTTTGCGAGGCTTTACAGTTTTTATATCAGATTCATAGAAAATTATACGGCAAAGCCTAATGAAGAAAAAGCAACAATAGATGGAGGAACGCATTGGAGAAATTCGAAAAATACTAGAATATCGGTTCATTCTACCACAATAATTGTAAGTTACTTTTTTTATAGGCTACATTATAGCAGAGCTAGGTAAGTACGGGTTATCTCGCGTACGAGTACGAACTCTTCAAGTAGAGTACTTCGAGTTCTTTGCCCAGCTCTGCATTATAGTGATATTTAAAGATGTGCTCGTTATTTGAAGGCAAAACATGATAAAACTTTTTTGAACATACTATTAAACAAGACTTTGAAAGTCGATTCTGAATTAGTATTCTTGATTTTTTTCGAAATATCTTTTAGTCTATGAAAGACGAAGCACCATTGTTCCAGGCACGTTTGCATCACTTGTTATGTTCTATTATATTATCGAACTTATTTCTTTCATTATCAAATATCTAATATAAAACTGATATATTATCATAAACATCAACAGAAAAACTTCTTCAATACTGTCCAATATATTACCAGTATTGAAATAGATAATAATAAAAAACTGATATTCTACTCAACTATTCTTTTTAATCATTCGAAAAAACTTTTTTTTATCTTTCAATTGTTAATTTGCACAAACGACTGATAGTTGTAAAGCTAAATGTAATAAAAGACGAAGAAAACGCTAAATTAAGCGAGCAATAGGTTTTGAAAAACATCGAGAAAGTAAACAAAGCCGCATATTTTAAATGATTTAGAGATATAAATATCTTTACTGAATGCATGTCACTGACTAGAAAATAAAATATAAACGCACTGTGTGCATTCATATTACGAGTAAAAACTCAAAAAGAAATTAGACTTTGCTTGACTTTTGAAATATAATAATATCGGAGAAAAAAATGATTGGTATTACTCTTCGTAACCCGATGTTCTTGTTAAAAAAATCAAGATAACAAAGAATTTTATATTAAAACGTGTTACAGTTAAAATAAATAATAGAATATGTTTTTCTTTCGTTGAGTAATAAAAAATAATTTAAAAATCAATGAAAACATGTATATTTAGATATTAAACAATACACATCAAAACAATACAAAATAAAAAATAGATCCTAGTCGCCCTTTTGTATTTATTACGGTTTTCATGGACATCATTACCTTGTTTTTATTACAAACAAGTACCTTTTTTTTGTTCTATCATATAAATAATAGCTCATAGCCTTGACAATTCTTCCAAAGTATTTATATAACTCAATTACAGTACATGATAATAAACTGTGATGAACAAAATTATTTTCATGTTTGTTCTCGATGACATTTTATAACTAATTTCTCTAAAAAAACGATACTTTTTTTATTGGCCATTTATTGAAATCAGTGCCTTTTCTATATAATTAAGAAAACAACATGTTATTATAACTCAATTGGTTATTTGTTTCATGCATGAAAAAACAATTTCTTTATGCTCGTCATTAATAAAAATAAACGATCAACCGTAACTGATTTTTTTGCCTGCTTGTTTATCTCAACGTTAAGGTGATGTAGAAAAAGAAAAAAAAATAAAGAGCGATTTTTGCCAATATTTTGTTATATAAAAAGGGTGGTCGATCGAACGATATTGTTGTGATCTACCTTCGTAAAAGCAAAGAAACTTGCAGTTTATAAATTATAATGACCTGATGTATGCTTCAGTTTATGATGTGTATGAGAAAAGTAATTAGTGTTGCATTTTCAAGGGTATGAAATCATTCACTTTTGATAGGTCGACTCTAGATAGGCCGACATAATAACGAGAATAAAGTATCGTAAAAATAATGTAGCTAGAGCGCATAGTACCATAAAGATTTATTTTTCTCTATTTGGTACATTGTTTTTTTCATTGCGTGATTTATGTATCAATGAGATGATGTTAGGTTGATTATCATTTATCTCAACTAACTATGGAGTGTGAATCATAATGTTAATGTGAAGGATTTTTCTAGATTTTTCTGTCTTTAACATTTAATCTATCGAACATGTCGGGTGAAAATGATTGGAATGGTAAATTAAAATGATTATTCAACATATATAATGTTTCTATATTGTTATAGAGGACTTATGTGGTTGCTTCAGTGATTGTGGTACATGCTGTTATGGTTATTGGTGTACACCGTGTTTATTTGGTTCAAATGCAACAAAAATCGATGGTAAAAATTGTTTTTTAATGTGTTGTCTCTATGGACTGCTAACTAGTGTTTATTTATGTTGGTTGCCACATTATTTTGAACGTCAAAAATTACGTGAAAAATATAATTTAAAGCCTAATCCATCATGCGGTGATTGTCCAACAACATTATTTTGTAGTCCATGTGCATTATGTCAAGAAGCTCGTGAAATGAAATCGAGAAGTAAACTATGAATAACTATTTTTATGAAATTTTCTCTTTTACTTGGTTAGAAAATGAACAGAGTGTGGCATTCAAAGCTAACAGCGCTCCAACGGTTGTTTCACAACCAGTACCAGATTCAAAAGATGTCAACCCTCTTAATACACGACTTTGAAACAAATTAATATTAACGGTTTCTATTGGACCAAACCTACAGAGACATTTTTCATTTTTACGTCATGCTATATTGTATTTATCAAAAAAAAATACATCTTTTAATTGGTTATAGCAAGAAAGGAAAGAGAGATGACAGACGTTATTTAATTACTTCGAATCGAATTTTTCAAAAACTGAAACATGCGAGTCTAAATAAGTGCAATATGTATGACTAACAAAAAATTTCATAATAATTACTCTATGAAAATTTCTGATTATATTTTCTTTTCTTGAAACAATGTCGGAATAGCCCTTCATCAGGGGTAGGTTGGAATTGACTCGCCGAATCTAGAATTTCATTGAGCTCACTCTGAAAAGTTTTCAATATTAATATTTTTGAAAACAGTTTTTTTTTATTAGATAAATTGGATTATAGACGTAACGATATCTCTCAGAGCAATACTCTTATCACAAATTATTCGCAAAAATATTTGTGTTGTGAAGTTTGATGTACAAGCATATTTAAGAACCAATCAATGATATTCATTCACAGTAAACACAGAAATAGTCATATAATTTTACCTTGTTTCTCACAGTTGATTTGATATGAAACGAAATACAATAGTAAATAATATACCCGATTGTGTAACAATCAACTATATCCAAAAACTTTTACAACTTTTAATTACACGTATGATAAGTAAATTCAAATCGAGCATCAATAATTTATTTCATTAAAAAAAAGTTATGCACTATATTTTTAATATTAAAAAAAAAAGATGTATTATTAAGAATGTTCCGAAACATGTAAGAGTAAAATAGAAATTCGATGTTTTCTTTCACTAAAGCTAAACCTTGATTTTTTTTGATATGTCTCAATGCTTCAATATCTTCTAATTTTTGAAAAATTGCTTCGGTTTTATCTTCCCATTGTTTCGTCTATAAACTGTTTTCATGCCAAACCTAGGAACATTATGTAGTCATTTTGTCAACAAAGTTAATCATGCTTGCACAAATTATATTTCAATAGTGTGTTTTAGAAGGTAAATAACAACATCGACTGATAGAGCTAAGTGATAGAAACTGTTGAACGAACTATGTTTGTATAACTATTGATTCTTGCTGAACATGAGTCAGACTTAGGAAAGAAAGTTGCTAGTACTTTTTAAAAAGTCACTGTATTTCATATTTTTTGTTGAATTAATTCTCTACTTACGAAGCAATAAAAATTGTACTTTAGACGACAGGAAAACAAATCATAGTTATTATTCAACATTCTCATTATAATGTTTCCTCATTGTTCCAGCTTGAAAATAAATCAAAAATTATATAAACTATTTTAGACATGAATGTCAATAATTTCTGACTGTTTACATTAAATCAATTATATATCGCTTAACTCTTATATTATAATTGAGATATTTTTGTTACAATAATTTACTGGCAAACACATTCTATAATTATCTAAATAATAAATGTCTCTTGATTTTTAACAGACATATGCCAGTTATCGTTGTTATTTTGATGCATGTCAGACTTTGATGCTTTACTCAACATATATGACAATTGAATAACAATACAATGTTAATGAGTGCATATCGGTTATACTATAAAATACGTCTTTATTATTGATGACTTATTCACGAAAGAAAAAACTCTCTATAACAAATTAAATCCTAAGCTCAGAAATTAAAAATATTAAATTCTACTTCTAATAACAATGAATGATGATGATGTCGTTGGACAATTGTATATATTAATTATACTATTCGTTAGTATACATAGGTATATTTGTCTAGTCAGACTTTTGTTCTTTTCTTCATCATCTCAATTCAAATTGATTCTTTATATGTATGAGACAAAGAAGGATAACACCAAAAATAAAAGTGTATGATGATAAGATCAAAGTTGCATCTCATTGCAATCTTTGAGCTTTATAGTCGCCATATAAACGCATAGAAAAAAAACGAAGACAAGATCGTCTAAGCGCATCTCGGCTAATAACCCTAAAGCAAACACTCATTTGGAACAAAATGAAGAACAGGGCGTATATACAATATTGACTATCATATATACACACACATATATATATATATATGTGCGATGTATACCTTTCGCCTTCTTCTCACATTTACTTGATGTAAATCCTTCACGTTTATTTGTGAGAAAATATCATTCATATTGTTTTTTAATAGTATGAACGGAAGGTCGACATGGTACAATGGTTAATTATTATTCTTGTTTATGATTTTGCTATGCTTAAAGTTTGTCAAATTCATTGATAATTTGTTTTTTCTTCCTTTCCTATAAGATTTTTATTTAAATTTATATAGTTATCCTTAAGTGAAGTGACACTTTCATTACGTTTAATTCATTATAAAAATCGAAATGGTTTAACATATGAAAATCGTCCATGTGATACAAGACTTGAACATGATATCAATCGAGATGGTCGATGTGATACAGGATTTTTATTTTGTCTCGTACATTTACCATTTCAAAATCCACATAATTGTACATTAGGTGATCATTTTACGGGTTTTGTTGGTGGTGATGATATACATTTTATTAATACTGATCAACAATTACAACGACGTTCTATTTTATCAATTAATAAAAAAAGACAAAGATCATCATTAATTTCTCTTTGGTTTCAACCAACAATTTATTTTCGTTTTAATTATCCAAAAGTAAACAATATTTTTTTATGTTTTTCTTCGATTAAATTTAACTTTCGCGTATTTTTTTTTTGTCGTGTATTAAGACTGGTATTGGTCTAATTGTTGAAGTATTTGATATAGATGATAATAATAATCAAAGTATCCATGATTCAATTGATTTTTATGGAAGAACATTAACTGATCTTAAACTTTATCGTTCAATTGAAGTAGCGAAACCACAAAGAATTTATCTTCAAAGTTTATTTGGTTCTTATACAAATTTAACTGTCGACTTTTCAGTTTGTCATTTTATTGAATAGTCAAATTTTGAATTAATAATCTATTTATTTTTAGCTTTATTGTTCACCAAATTATTACGGTAATGATTGTGAAACATTTTGTTCCGCAAATGAACAACGTTTTGAATGTGATTTAAATACTGGACGTAAAATTTGTAAACATGGATATTTTGGTCAAGATTGTCTTAGTGGTAAAACTTATAGAAGAATGCCAGATGAAAAAAAGTTCTTGTTTTTTTTTCTATTTGCAGATGTACGAGCATGTGAAGACCAACCTTGTGTAAATAATGGAACATGTGTTGTTTATCTTCGAAGTTATCTATGTCAATGTCAAAAAGGCTTTACCGGTCGATCTTGTGAGATTGGTAAATATTCTAAAGATGTTGTTGTTTTAGAGTATCAATGAATTGTTTTTCTTTACTTTGATTTGGTCCAGCTATAAAAACTATCTATCATATATGTAATCGAGCAACATGTATTCATGGTGATTGTTCACGAGACGGACACTGTATTTGTCATATTGGTTGGACATCGGAAAATTGTAATCGAAGTCTTATAAGTATGTTCATAAAATATATTCAATAGATTAATATCGGAAATTCTAAGCTTATGAGTAAATTCTTGAGTTGGATAGGATTAGGTACATTCCGTATAAACTCATGTGAATATTGTTCACTTGTGCTTCCTGTCTAAACAATGATGGCACTTGAAAGTGTATTGCCAAAAACAAAAATGAGTCAAATCTTAGATTCTTAATTTGTTGTATGTCTATTAGAGATTATTTCGAATTGCAACAAATACTCATGTTGTCTGACTATTTTGATCAAATTATTTTCATATTCATGAGATAATCACGAAGTCTATTGCTAACTTAAATATTGTAAAAACTTCGTTCTGTAATATACATAGATCTTAATTATTTATTTTATTTTCTTTATTTAATTTATTTAATTTCTAATTAAATTTATACAGAAGAAAGTGCTTGTGTAAGTCGTCCATGTTTACATAATTCAACATGTGAAAACTTGATTGATACCAATTCATTATCAGCTTATCGATGCCAGTGTCGAATTGGTTATATCGGTCGAAATTGTGAAGTTGGTAAGAATATTGAACATGGGTAGTTTTTTTTTCTCGATTTATTCATATTATTCATTATAACAAGCTATTGTTACATCTTGTGAACGAACACCATGTATACATGGTCGATGTTTAAAAATTGATTTATATACCGAAATTTGTATTTGTGAAGATAACTGGACAGGAATTGATTGTTCACAACCTTTGTTCAGTAAGAATTTGAATTGAATGAACTATTTGTTTTTTTTTTCAATTTAATTAGAGACACTTTTTTTTCTAGCTCCTGCAATAATTACTCCATTAGCTGATTCACATAAAGATTTGGATACTGTTACAAGTGTATCATCTGTACCTATAACAGCAATAAAATCGATAAAAAATTTAACACTTACACCTTTAACTATCGACTTACGTGATTATCTTGATTGGTTAAAGGAAAATTATGCAATAAATAGACTAACAAATTCATATCCATCAATTACAACATCATCAATATCTCATAAAAATAGTAAAATTAAAATAAAAATCAATTCATTTTGCTTTTAATCTTTTTTTTTGCTGTAGAGTATTCACCATGTTTAAGTGCACCATGCCATCATAATTCTACTTGTATTCTGCAATCTGAACATAGTTTTCAATGTCTTTGTTCACCTTCATTTATCGGAATTTATTGTGAAATCGGTAAGCTCTTACTTTGGATTTCTAACCTTAAATATAATCTTTATAATTCATTCAGAAATATTAAATATTGCACATTTTCGTAAGTTTAGTTTGAATGTAGAACGAAAAAAAAAAGCATGTTGGAAAAATAATTTGTTTACATGTAAAATATTAGTTGTGATAAAATTCTTTTAGAAACAAATCCATGTGAAAGTTCACCCTGTCAACATCAGAGTATATGTATAACAAAATCAAATCATGATGTACAATGTATATGTCGACCACATTACACAGGCAAATATTGTGAATACCCTCGTATGTATTTTTCTTTTCTTTTTTATTAATTAAATGTTAAGATAGAAACAATTTTTTTTTAGCACCAATTCAACCACCATCATCTAATTCCCAATGTACTCGTCTTTGTCGCAACGGCGGCATTTGTCTAGTAAAAATAGAATAATAATAAAAAAGATACCATAAAATTATTATTATTTCTATTTAGGTTGATGAATCCAATAAAGAACTATGCATATGTAAATCATCTTATACAGGTTTCTACTGTGAATTATCTAAAAATAACTGCAATGGTGAGTTAATTGATTTGGATTGGCTATTTTTTTGTATTTAGTAAGTCATGACTTTCAAAAACGAACATCATTTTTTTTTCTTTGGATCGTATAATAAAAATATAAAGGTTAATTGTATGCTCTTTCAATTTTTGTTTTGTCCTCGCTCAAGGGTAAACGAGTGAAGTGCAAATAATCACTGATTTATATATATATGATTCATACATTCGAAAAATATAATATTATAAATGTGTATGTGAAGAAAGCTGACTAACGCTACAGACAGTGACAGATTATTTTTTGCTTTTCTTCAAGCGTTCGAAGAAAGAGAAATCATTCGTCTGTGATAGATATGATCAAACACTTCTGTTGTACATTGCGCTTCGATTAACTGAGGGGTTTGTTTTTATTTAGATTCATCATGCAATATTGATCCATGTATATCGAATCCATGTTTATCAAATGGTACATGTCAATCAATAATATTATCAAAAAATTACACTTGTTCATGTCTTGAACAATATACAGGTGATAGATGTGAATTTTATATAGAATCAGATTCGCCATATGTTTTATCACGTGACATTGCATTAAATTATGATGAAAATAATTCAAAAAGCTCAACAGATCTTTGGCCATTAGCTATTGTATTTGGTTATGTATTTTCTTTAATGTTAGTTTTTATTATTATTTGGTTTCTATGGTATTAAAAAAACAATCTAGTTTTTTGATAATATTATTTTTAAATTGATTTATTTATTCTTTTTTGTTAAGGTATGGATTAACAATGCGTCCTCAATCATATTATCGTTCTGACATTCCATATGGTGAACGTACTACGGATCGTTATCAACCATATCGTTTAGGTGTTAGTAATCCACTTTTTTTTATAAACCAAGAATATAATTCAAATCCAATATCGAAAACTTTTTCAAATTAAAACCTTTAATTTTTAGTGTGTTCATTTTTTTCTTTGAATACTTTTAGACATATTTCATTTGTTTGCTATTGAAATAAACACTTTTTTGTTGTCATTTTTCATTAGTACTATGTACAAATAATATAGGAAAAAAAATAAACAACAACAGCACGAAAATAAAATAGATGAGCGATAATCATCACCAACAATCCTTTTTTTCCGTTTCCATTGTATTAATATCCGATATTGAGCTTGACTCAGAATATTCATGAAGACAATTCGTTGCTGTCGATGGTGATATTGAAGGAGGATCTTGATTCTAATAAAACAAAAAGATGAATATAAATTATTAGTAAGAAATAATTCTATAAATTTTACTTTTTCTTGTTCTAAAATATCAATAGTATCGACAAAAAATGAATCGGGTGAATTAGATCGGCTTAAATCTTGCTGATCATCAACAAAAACATCGGCATGGACATTAGGCGATGATGTTCGAGCTTCATTTGTAGAAATGTCAGCTGTAAGAGAAAGAATTTAATTTTTTTTAAATGGTTTGTCTACTTTAGATTTGTTTTGTTTTTTACCTGATTGTGTTCGATTAATTTGTTTATAATTATTTTGAATTAGTAAAGGTGATGATGAAAATGATGAAGACATTTGTTGTGGTTGCATGACAACAGGCGAACGCATATCCGGATGTTCAAGCATATTTGGTACACTTTTTCCACCTTCACTTTCAACGATATTTTCATTTGTATTCGAAGTTTTTATTGTTAATAAACGTCGTTGAATTTCATCATCAAGTGCTGATGATTTTATAGTTACTTCAGGATGTTCAAAGATACGTTCATCACTGTGAGATGAGTTTAATTGTCGACTACTGTTTGATGACAATAATCTTCTTGAATAAATTAAAAGAAAAAAGAAAACTATTAATATAGTCATAAAAACAATAAGTGAGAATTAATTTACTCGTAATAATTAACTAATTGTTGATCTTTATTATTATTATTGTTATTATTATTATTATTATTATTATTCCAAGTAAATTTTCGTGTACGATGTGAATTGATATCTTGTAATGATGTTGAAGTAGACATCGTATTTTTTGTTGTTGTTTCTTGAGTTTGTTCACTCAATTTAACGTTTGGTATACGACGAACTGATGTATAATCAATTTCTATCGGAAAGACAAATTAAACTATTTATGTAAGATCAATGTCGTATTTCTTTTTACAATGATAAGAATAAAAACTATCTGCGCATAACTTATTGCTGTTCTTTCAAATGAAAAATGTGAGTGTATAGCTCACCTATGTAGATTTACATGCATCATAAACAATCAAAGAGGAAAATGGTTTTATCGCCAGGAACCTACAATGTATGAGCTTGAAGTGAAAAAAAAGTGCCTTTTTTTCTCTTTTTTATAATTGAAATATTTATGCATTGAATCGTATTGCACAGTAGAAAATGAGAAAAATAGACGAAGAATTTATTGAGAAAAGAAAAATGGTGGTCTGTGTAAAAAAAAAAAAAGAAAGCTAATCCTATTGCGTTTCACAACTATTGAGAAAAAAATGCAAGTATATAATTGAGAAGGATTATAAAATCTATTTTTTATTGAAATTCTTAATGAAAAAAAACTAGGTTATTGTCAATCCACTTGTTTTACGTACGCTTATTCCTGATTACAATGCCTATTGAGAGAAAAGAAAAGTGAATGTCACATGAATAAATTATATTTTTTTAACCAGACAATTATGTTTACTCTCTCATATACTACTCAAGATGGCTTCTCTCAATGATTTTAACGAGACAAAAAGAAGAATAGTGACATTAATTGTATACGACCCCATGTCATATAAAGATGAAAAGACTTAGTGAAAAATAAATATGTGACATACGTTTATTGTTACTCGCTGAAGAAAGACATGAATAAAAATAAAAATCAAGCAACACATCCGGTTTTAGCTTGTTAGAGAAGAAAATCTCTTTGATGACTAGAAGAAAATAATTCAGTAAAATGACAATATGACGTTATGCACCTTTCTTTTCAGTTGTTTTAATATGTCAAGAAAAAAAAAAGATTACACCAGTACGTGCAAACATTTTCTTTTTATAGGAGAAAAAAAAAGACTACTTCAATTATTTCCAATAGAACAAAACATAAAAGTAAACAAATATTTTATGTAACAATATGCACTTACGATAGAACATTTAATATGATCGAAAATGATGACGATAAAATTGACAAATGAAGAATCATTAAGTATTACGATGTCCAACCGATAAAATACTCAGTTGTGTTCTCGTATTTTCCTTTCTTTTTTTGCTTTACCGAAAAAAAGAACAACGACTGGTTGCCAGACGATGGCCTAGTCTCACAATAGGACTACTTTGATAGATCAGTGGCATTTTTTTCTATTCCTTGACACCCAATCACTATATGTATGTATGATGAGGACGATTATTATTATTATTACTATTATTACTTGTTTCCATGTTGGATTTTTCGTTCGTCGTTCTTCTTCTTCTTTCTCTTTTTTTTTATCCTTTATTTTCTGCTTGACACGGCCACAAATAATCGAGCTGGCCGAAAGCAAAAAGACAAATGCGCGATCTCCTCCTCTATTCTCGTTAACTCGATCAGATGCCACATAGATAAGCACATATATAATGAAACAGAGGAAAAAAGAGATACTAAAAACAATAATATACTTTTCTTTGATTAATGCTTGGAAATCGCAAAATAAGAAATAAGAATTAATATAATAGAAAACATTTTTTCATTTAATGAAAGATGAAACGAATGACAAATAAAATACCACTTTTCTTCTTTGTTTATGTTTCTTTTTTATTTATTTTTCAATGATAGAATAACTTGAAAGTAATCATGCTTCTCTAAAACATCCGAACATTTCCGTAATCAAGGAGGAAAAAAATTATCTCTATAAACAGACAGACAAGCAATCTACTCGTTCTTACTCAACCTTGTCCCATCAGTCATGTTTCTTTTTTAGCGCAATCAAAAACAAAAATAAAAAGAACGCAATGATGGCAATATTGCATGCATGATATGCTATCTTGAAACAAAAGATAAAAGAAAGACATACATCGTATATCGATCATCACACGCTTTGTTATGTTGACAATCAATCGTAGTTTTTTCTTCTCTACATTCTGCAATATCGTTGGCGTTAGTATATTTGATATCCAATAATAGCAACTACCGTAACTGATGGCAGTCAAGATACGTAAAAGAAAAAGAAACAATAAGCTCAACTAGGGTACACTTTTTTTGATTGAACCATTGGGGAATATATACTAACAATTCACAAATAATAAAATGATTACGAAGACGTTTCTGCCATTCTTCGTTACTTATTCAATCTATTTTTGAAACTTTTCCTAGGATTAGATAACGATTAACGTATCGTGCATCGATGTAGGAGGTCGCCCGGACGTCAACGGAAGTTCACTGAAAAATTTAATTGAATTACTCAAGCAGAGATATTCTTCATTTACATCAGCCTTATGCAGGAAGCCGAGCATTAAACGAAGTTACTTTTATGTAAAATTTAGGACAAAATGACTTTCTTTGAACTTACTTGGTTTCGAAAGAATCATTCAGTGTTAAAAATAGATTGATGTACGAAACTCAGCCAGTCAATCACCCGCTAGACAGTTAAAAATGTATATGCAAAATGCACGATTCAGGAAAACGGTTGAGAGTTAGAGAGAATAATAGAGAGAGAGAGAGAGTAAGCAAAGTAAGAGAAGATTGGTAGATTTTTCTTTCTTCTTTTCTCTGTTACATTCTTTCGACACTCATCATTGAAAGACAGAAAAAAAGCCTAGAGAAAAGAAAGAAAAGAAAGTGATGCGTATGTATGGGTTGTTTTTAAAAATAATGTGTACAAGTCCAGAACGTCTACGCCAAAAGAAAAGGTCGTTAATAAATACATATTCCTTTTTTTCCTTTATTTTCAATTGCTGACTGTTTTTTTCTCTACTTACAAACTTGTCTGTCAATTACCTTGAAAGAAACAACATTTTTTTTTTCATCAAACCCCCCATACGTTGTGTGCATGTTGGAATGAATGGTATAAACAAACTTCCATCAAACTCATCCATTCCTTACATGTCTATATATGTATGTACCGAGCAGACAACGGCATGTTATCTTTTTTCAAGATGAAGTGACAAAAGAATAAAGAATGTAATTGAGATAGATAGGAATGGTGCATACATTATGACACATTTATTACCATATTAAACGAGCTATAAGTGCAAATTAAAACAAATGAAACAATAAAAAAAAAGACCTGAAAAACCTGAATGAACTAATATATTATTCGTCTTACTGTCACATACGGTTGTTACTTAATTATGTTTTTCTTACCATGTTTTACGTCAAACTTATATATATATAGATATATATAGATATATATATATCTATATTAATAGGTTTTCTGTACTGTATCTTCTTTCTCAACCAGAAAGAAGAAAAAACTAAATGACAGAGTAACACTTCTCGTTTTGAATTATTCTTAATAACTTAATAGTTACCTGTCAACAATTATGTCGTTTGTAAGCTACATATGTTTGATGTTGATGATCATGCAAGATTGTTAAGATTTTCCAAAAAAAAAAAATTCCACCTACACATCGGTTTAATTTAGTCTCCTTAATAAATGCATTCTCAGTTAATAATGTCTTTGATTTAATGCTATCAGCAAGGTTAATTACGAAACAACAAGACCAAAAAAAAAAGGAAATATTTATTTCAAACAACAATTCAACTATATTTTAATATTCAGGCTTTGTTTTTGGCATTAGATAGCATAGATTTTTCTTCCAAAAGAATCTAATTTACATGAATTATTAATATAGGGTATGTTGATAATATTATTAAGTATATCATAATGAAATATATAAAGCTATTCAGTTCAATTATTCTAGAACGGATGTTTTACGGAAGTTTACCACATACTTTCATATCAATAACAATATAGTGTCGAGATCCTGTAAGAGATGTGATAATGCGTAGGTAGATAATAGTAATAGAGCGAAATAATCAGAGTCAATGAATTCCGTTCTTTGCTTAAATACTTTTGTGATGTAAGAATAAAAAAGGTTATTAGGAGACGGACAAACTAAATAACTGTATTAAAGTAAATCATGTTTCTTATATGAACAACTAGTTGATTGTCACAAATTTCTGTCTTCCAATTAACTTCCTTGTCTTATTTCATTCATGATGTAATGAATTATTACCATCAAGATATTCTTGACTCTTTTGAGAATTGTAATTGTTGTAAATAATCACAAAAATTTCTTAATATAATTAATTATTTCATGAGACTTTTTTCCTATTGAAAATATATAATTATTTGATTATTTTCTCAATTATAAGGACATTTTATTGAGCTTTCGAATCGATAAATAGTTACCTAAAAATAAAATAATTAGAACTTGTATTGTTTTTTATCTATATACAGAAAATACAGAAAGAAAAATATAATCTCATAAAGCAATAAAAAAAAATCTGTTTTATTATACTTTTTCTTTTTATAATGATACGAAGTTATCTAATCGCTTAAGCACTTGAAGAAGAATTTCTACTTTATTATCTGATAGATAATATAATTTAGCCTGGTGAAATATCATCTTCATGGCGTTTCAATAGATTAGTATTGACTTAATGCCAAGAGCTAAAAGACGTTAATGCGAGGTATCAATGAGTAATTATGTCATATTGACTCTTTAAAGTTGCTCACTATTCTCGTTGGCCTTTTTTCAACCTACAATCTTTGATCTAGTGTATTAGCTTTTTTTATTTGAAGATATCTGGAATATACTATTTCTTGCAATTTCATATATATATATATATATATATATTCTTTATAAAATGTTGATTTCTATAATTCTGCTCCTATATTTCATATAAAGTAATTAGCAAAGAGATTATTTTACATGTCATTATAATGTTTTTCAAACTCAACTTTAAAGTTTCTTTCAATATATATTCCATTTCTTTCGATTGATAAAGTTTTTTAATCTATATATTGATGGCAATATATAAATGCTATCTATATTTGACATTTTTTACTGCTCATTATCTTGAATGTCGTTTATTTTATCATTGCAAAGCTGACTCATATACATAAATATGTACTCTTTTTTCTTTACGTATAAAAAATCAATTTATTCATTGTTGAAGATCGTGTTTTATGAACAAAATAATAGTTTTTAATAATAATTTTTCTCTTGTCCAAATGTTTTTACATTGACATTACATCTCGACTATTTGTGATATTCGATTAGTGTATGTTAAAAACAAAGCATGTAACATATGATACAATATATATATATATATATATATATGTTAATATGGACATTTTTTGTGTGATTAGATTTCTAAATGAAAAGGTTGGCAAAAGAATTGATTAAACAGCAATGCTTTATTGTAATATTACGACTTTTTTTGCTAAGTCATGCTCGTTTGCATGAGTTTAAAGTTAATGATATATGCTCTATTACTATCCATCAAGAAATATAATGTTCTCTATTATTTTTCGATGAATTCTAGAATACAAGTAGTTAGGAACATGAGATTTTTTTTCCTCCGGAAGAACGAAAAGGAAAACGTGAAACCATGTAAAAACTAATCTACTAAAAACAAAGTATATATTAGTCACTTAACAATAAACTTATTCAAAACCATGACAATGAGTTTTAAAACATCAAAAACCAGTAATTTCATCGTCATCATACAGAATTCTTCTGTTCTAAATAGAGCAACGTCAATATATAATGTTATTGAGTACAGTTGATGTAGAGACACCATCTACTATATATATATATCTGACGTTCGAATCCATTATCTTGCAAGTTTAAAAATCTAGAATATTTATATTTTACTACAATATTCAGTGAAATTCGAAAATACAAATAGCAACTACTTTTATGAACTGATCTATCAAGTGTTTATATAGGTTCACGTCGTCCAATTCGCTCTTTCAAATGGTAACAACAGAAGTTCTCTAATTACTTCTGCTCTGGAGTTATCAAAAAGCAATGGAGTATATCATGTTACTATAAATGAACAGCAGTTATAACACCATTTGTCATATATAATTTTTTTTCCATTGTAAAAAATAAAAAATGATTCTATTTAGTGTAATAACAAGAGTAGATAATGTCTTAATCCATCCGACCGTGAAACTAATGAAGTAAATGACTAGATCAATGAGTCTAAGAATAATGAATTATTTTCAATTGAAAAAGTGCATTTTTTATTTTTTGATATGATGAATAATCGCTTCGGAATTTTGTATTACTAAATAATTTAATATAAAGATCTTGTGAAAAACAAAACTGTTTAAATTAATAGTAATTATTGTTATCAGAAGATTTTGTTTAATATCAATGACACTAATAATGTTCATGTGACAATTTCTATCTGTGATTGCCTATCACAATACCTCCATTAAAAAAAATCTATGACTATTTGTTTTTCATTATTGGTTATTCTTAGACCAATGATACAATGTTATTGTAATAATCATCAAAGCATGTAATTTACATAATTTCGTAGTAAAGTAACTCAGATGATTTGATCATTTTGAGTCTTAGATAATATATATTACATTAAACTATCAAGTGACTAAATTTTTCGTTCGTATCCAAAAAACATGCCGATAGAAGAGAAAATAATAGGAAATAGAATCCGTATATTTTGTGTTAGCGTCATCAGATATCACTTTATGACGCTAACTTACTTATATTGTACTGAATTTTTTCCCTTTCCTGTTTAATATACACTGTCCTGTTAATGACCTTGAGAACATATGATGACCGTCTTCTTTCTTTTGCGTCTTTCTTTTTTCTATGGCGCTTTTTGATTTTCCTTTCTCATGACCTATTTATGATCTTGTTTTTCTGTTTTTTCGTTATTTATATTTAGGCGTGTGTTTTTCTTCGTTAACTACACATCTTTCTCCTCATTATTATTATCATCTTTATTATTGTATTGTTGGTTGTTGATTATTGCGATATTTTATTCTTTTCAAAATAAAATTCATTAAACACAATAAATATTTTCAATTGATGCATATGTTACAACAACAGAGTAAGGGAGTCAATCTATGCAAGCTGTCTAATCTCTGAGTAGACTAAATAATTAGCTCTGCTACTATACATTCCCCAAACGAGAGTCTTACATTTTGGCTATTGTTTTCAAATTTTTTTTCTCTTAGAACATTTATAAATTTAATGCATCAACATACGTATATATACATCTTATCTTGTCATTTTTTCTTTATCATGATATATTTGTATCGAAGAATTGTCTTCTGTCTTTTTTAAGTGTTGTCGCTGCTGCAAAGTGATAAAAAATGACTTCATCTAGAATACCATTGTATCGTGTCAAAGGCACACATTATGAATGTGCATATACCATCGGTACTTTAACACGGGAAAAAATCCAGCATCGTATTGCTGATGATTTGGCTGAGTTATCAGTGTTATTTAAATTTATTCAAACAGAATATGGACTTCGATTACATCGAAATTTTATTGAAACTATTCGTTCATTATATCCCTGGTATTGGGATGAGATTTGTGGTATAGCCGATGGTTCAGGAATTCCATTAGAACAATTACTGGTTTTGAATTTTTTAAATGAAACTCGAACAGCTTATAAGTTATTAGAAGAAGCACAACAATTAGATTTAAGAAGTGAAAAATTTCTCAATGAAAATGGTGAAAAAGGTTGTACGACAGTTTTACTTAATCGAAAAGATACAAACACATTTTCACTATTACATAATGAAGATCATGCAGCAGCGTTATACTTCACTGGGTATGTTGTTGAAGCAGATATTCAATCAAGCGAATATGATGATGGAAAACGTCAAAGTCCAAATGAAAAATTTATTGCTTATTGCTATGCTGGTGTTATACCAGGTAAATAATTATTTATGTACGACTTTCATATATGTTATTTCGTATGAATCATTATTGTCTTTTAATCAAGAATGATCCATAGATTGCAATAGATTTAGTACTTATGATTTATAACGACAAGGGTTGGAAATGATTTCTTTTTTCCAAAAAATAAAATAGGGGTAGCTGGATTCCTTGAGTTCTGTACTCCTGAAAGTCTCAAAACTCCAGTTTCACTCACGTAACTTTCGGAAGAGTGTAGATTTCAGTTCTCTCTAAATCTACAACTAGATTTGTAGTTGAATATCTGAGGAAACCATTGTACTTTATGTCTATCATCTCTCGTGGCATTTCGAATTTCTAAAAGTAATACACCATGCAGAATTTTTTAAATGTTTGTTTTATTTAAAAAGAAATCGTTTCACATAGTCAATATAGGACATATTTCTAAAGTTTTAAATGTTTAATAGTCATAAAGCATTATTTGATTATTTATTCATTCTAAACTATTATATAATTTGTACAATACAAGTAATCAACTGTTCGACATTCACATAAACACATCGTTTAGCATCAATTCTTCTACTAACTTCTTCTTTTATTGATGAAAGTAATATTTCAGAATAACATCAAGGAAGTTGTTGACGTTATTCTATAAATAAATTTATCTTTTTATTGATATTCATTCTAATGAGTGCATATAGAACTTTGAAAGTGTTATTTACTACATAAATTCGAGTTCAATATTTTATTACTTTTTATTTTTAGGAAATGCTTTTGGCGCTAACAGACATGGTTTTGCATTCTCCCTAAATGGTCTATATCCTGATTGTGTTGGACATTGTCGTTTACCACGACAAGTAGTTAATCGAGCTCTACTATCAGTACAAGATGAAGAAGATTTAGACAAACTACTTCGTATGTCTCCTGTAGCATTTGGTTTTTGTATAAATGGAGCTTTTTATCGTCAGCAAAATCATTTACTTAATTATGAAATTGGACCTAATTTAAAGATTGATAATGAAAATTATATAAGTAAATGTTTGATAATAAATGATGATCACAAAATAAATCAAAGAGATGGTAAAAAGAATTTATTAAATAACTAAATGCATTTACTTATTTTCGTTTAGATGAATGTGAAATTGTATTAAATTATCTAGTACATTACAATCATTATGAGCGTTTGAATAAAGTAATTATTGAACAAAAACCTCTTAAATCAACATATAGTCGTGGGAAACGTGGTCAAGAACTCGGTGAATTATTTACAAGTAATGATGCAATCAATTTACTTGGTGATAATGAAAATGAAGCATTTCCAATATTTCTTGTTTTAAATAAAACTGAAGCTGATTCAGTAACACTTTGCACAGCACATTTTGATTTCTATACATTACAATTATCCATTTATCAGCATAATCCAAAAGACAATAATCAGCCTTCATTTATTTATAATCTAACCGATCTATTTAATTGAAAAGACTAACCAATAAAAATAAAATATCTCTTGGAGTAATCTATAAATGATTGTATTTTTTTTGGATGGAATATATACATAAACGTTCACCAAAAAAAAAAAAATATTATGATAGCTTGAAAAAATTTGATCACTAAATTTCCCATAGAATAGAAGACTAACTACAAAGAACTTCTCTCAAGGCATACTAGAAGACCATGCATTGTCAAAAATTCGTTTGTTTTTTGAGTAAAAATATTTTTTTTGTTATTAAAATTACTTTTTTTTTAGTAAGAACATGTTTTTCCAGTACTTGTTTGCTAATATCGTGTATTTGAATATGACAAGTCTTTTCAAAAACCTTGATTTTCTAGGTAAATATTAGCAAACAACCGATCTTGCAATGAAACGTCACCTTTTGAAAAGCAATGTGAATTTCCATAATTCAATGCCATGGTTTTTTCTTATTTTGGAAGGGGATAGGGGCGGATCTATACAGTTTTTGATGATGGTATGAAATATCAGATTGCAATATTGAATGATAAATTGCTGAAGGAAATAATATTTTTTCTAGAAAAGCGATGGATGTATACGTAGTGGAAAAATCATTTTTATTTCATAATTTTCTAGGCTGAATATACGAAATTTTTTAAAATAAAATTAGAAAAAAAGATGTTTTCTATAATCATCATAATTTTATGTTAAAAAATGATAATCACAAAGTCAATTGTTCATTTCGTATTACTTTATAAAATTTTCTTTATTTCTAACATAAATTAACTATTCTTCCATTTCAATCTATATCATTGTCAAAAGCTTAAATATATATAATAACGAAGGTGGCCATTAAAATAATTATATTTTGATGAGATATTACTTGTTCATAAGCTTTCTTTGACATAGAACTTATGACTATATTCATCATTCTAAATGAATTTAATTAAATTATTAGTTGGCTATTTTAACTGGACTTTTATGAAAACATTTAAAAAAATTAAAAAGTTTGCATTCAAAAAACTCTAGAAAGAAAATTTTCATTAAACTTTGTTACTGCTTGTTTTCATAAATTTCTACACGTCAGATTCTAAACCGTGTAGCATATTTTCTAAAGTAATGCAAATTATGAAACGAACACATTGTACAAGACCAAAACAACAATTGAGACTTTTCTAAGACTTAATGCTGATAAAAAAGTAAACTGATAGTCTTAGTCTATTAAACCATATAGCTTCAATATATCTTTTATAATCATTGGACTAACAATTTAATTTTTAGAAAAAATATTTAAAATCTAAGAGGTAGAATAAGATTTGAACATTCGAATTACTATGTTGTTCAAATTAAAAGCAAATTTAATCAACGAAATAGAAAGTGTCAATGCTTTGTTGGATAGAAAAAAAATGACTGTAGAAAGATAGAAGAATATTTCTGTGACACTTTACTATCTCCAAGTAACGTTCAAGGCTTATATGTAGACATGTTCAAAGGGCAAAATATGTGCTCTATAGTCATAGAAATCTAAAACCTTGCTATAGTCATGACATACGGATATGAGTTTATTTGAATGCAACACTTGTCATTTTCAATCACGTAGTAAGAAGATCATTTTATTTTAACATCAAAGTAAATCAAAATGGAAATAATCAAAAAATTTCTTTGCGCACACAGTTGGATGCAGAAATAACAGCTATATAGAAATAGTCTTTTTTTTCTTTCAACACCGCATTATATTTTTTCTTTTTTAAAACAATCAGTGTTATTAATATTTGAACTATATATATACTAGAAGAAATGCAGAAAAAACACTAAGGAATAAAACTTTTGCAATTCGATTGCATTATATATACTTTCATGTTGAGAAACTAATAAATTAGATTTGAAATATCTATCTTTTGTATTGATGTCCTTAACGGAAATTCATAATAGCATGTAAAAAAATATATTCAGACATTGTTATTTTTCTATTTTGATTATTATTTTAAATATTGATCAACGATATGTTGCATAATGTTTTTCGTCTTGGTCTTATTCGAATTTTTTATCCATGTTTAATGATATTTGGTACAATTGGAAATATATTATGTTTAAAAATTCTTCTTCGTAAACGTTTTCGTCGTCAATCAACATGTCAATATTTATGTATACTTGCTGTTATTGATATTATTTTTATTTATATGAGATCAACACGTTTTTTATATCGACATATATACAATTTTGATTTACGTAATACATCATTATGGATATGTCGAACATTTATATATTTTTCATCAACACTATCACATTTAGCATCATGGATACTTGTTATTGTTAGTTTTGATCGATATTTTATTATTAAAAATTTTCTTCGATGTCGTCATGTAGGTTGGCGTGTAATTAACTCAACATGTGTACTTATTTTAATTGTATCTATTGTAAATATTCATTATTTTCAAATCCTAGGTAAAAAGAATTTTAAAGAAAAGAAAAACATTTTTTTAATTTTATTTCTATTTTAAAAAAAGGATTCTTCTTTTTATATTTTATAGGAACTGAAATTCCAATAAAAATTCCGATTATTCAAATGACTGATAATATTTCAAATGAAACTTATGTTCAAACTTACCGTTTTGTATGTATTGCACGCTCACCATTCAAAGAATTTTTTCGTTTATATGTTCCTATATTTGATTTACTTTTTGTTGCTATCATACCATTTTGTCTTATGACATTTACGAATATTGGTATAATTCGTACAACTATGCGATCAAATATGTTATATATATCAATAAGAAAACAAAAAAGAAATAACCGTTTAACTATTATGTTATTATCTGTTATATTAGCTTTTATGCTGTTAACATGTCCATCAGTTATTTATATATGCTTAAATCGTTTAACATCATCAAGAGCAATTTCTGATACGCAATTAGTTATTCTTGACTTACTTGAATCATTATGGTATACAAAACATGCACTAAATTTTATATTATATACATTAAGTGGACAAGATTTTCGAAAAGAATTTATTAAATTACTTCCATGTTATCGACGACAACCATCAAATTCATTAAGTAATCAACAAAAAAGTCGTAGTAATGATTTAACTAAAGGTATAAGTATGTTTTCGAATAAATCTCCTTCAGCAAGTAGACGATTATTTGAACATCGGAATGAACGGAAAACAATGAAATAAATGATTTATCATTGAGTATCATTTTAAAATTATTACACGACGAAAAAAATCCTTAATGATGTAGATGGTAAAATTGATAGTAAGTTTTTTTTATAAGTCTGGCATGTTCAAATACATAAATGGCAACATTAATCACAAGTGATTCATGACGATCTTCATCAACGGCTCAGACATTAGTTCATAAAATGCAATAAAAATATTTTATTTTATTTCGAATAAAATGATATAACTGCATAATATAGATTCTTCATATTCAAGAAGAATAAATGCGAAACAAAAAAAGGGATGTTTAAAAAGACAAAACTAGAAATACTGGACAAACCGTCCATTATTGTAATAGTTGAAATATTTTCTCACGAGGGAACGTTTTCAACTGATTAATCGTTTTTTCATTGAAAGTTAGTGGATTGTAGGCTATCGACTACACTGACATTGAATATGATAATCAGAAATCCCTTTAGGTCTTTCTATGCTGATTTTGTAGACTAATACGTTTTTGCCGTAATCCGTCCAGATTATAAAGGATATCGAATTGCCTAGGAAACATTAACTTCTGTTTTAAATCATTATTTTTCTTACAGAGAATACAGCCGTTTCAGTTTACACAACAAATATATGCTAACAGTTCAATGTGAAAATCTTCAAAATAATTTTATTTCAGTTAAAACTAATTTTTCTAAAAAGTAAAAATTATCATCTTATAGCTAACTCGAAATGTTCCATATTTTTGGATTGATCTAAAGCGATTTGACAAAATTTTAGTTTGTCTGGAAAACCAACAAATAAATCTCTAAAGAGGATCTTGTATACTCATATTTAGAATAAGCATAGTCAATAGTTTATAATCCTCTGGCTTTTGGTAAGAAAGTGATTGATCGATTGAAAACGCTTCCTCGTCAGTAGCGGTTAAATAACGCTACAGTTATACTTTTCTTAAACAATTAGTTGAGCAGATTGATTCTCTATATGCCTGTTTGTATCATTAGGAGTAAGTTAAGAAAAAAGTGTTCTGCTTTTAATATCTTGTTAATTATAGAGAATGAAATGCAAGATTAATTGTTTATTTATTTGAAATTAATTATTCGTTATTTTTGTTATGACTATTTGACAAAAAATAATGATTGAAACTAGTTTCTGAATCGTACATTAACTTAACTATTATTATTCTTTTTTTAATATAAAATTATTTTGCTTTCACTATAAAATTTTTTATTTTCAACTTTTTATTTTATATATTTATCACTGAAAAATTAGCAGAGACCATAATAATAAAAAGAAAAACATTTTTGCGTCAAATAGTATCTTGAAATTCGTCAAAAACAGGATAATGTGATTGTGAACCCGGTCCATGATTATTATACCAAGTATCAAGATCAGCTTGAGTATTATGTGTCTGTAAAACTCGTACATAATCATCAAACATCTTATTAAAAACAGCTTGTTGTTGCAATGTTTTAATATATTCAATAAATATTTCTTTAAAAAAATCTAAACGTTTTTTTTCAAATGCTTGCGTACGTTGAAATATTTCAATCATATTGGCTTCATAACGTTGTCTTGGTTCAGCACCTGGTGCAACATCATGTAATAATTGTTGATATTTTGTTCGTGCTGTATCCACATTAAGTTTCAATTGTATATAATTATCAACAATTTGTTTTTGTGTTTCAGTTGGTGTTTCAGCTGGCATTGATAATTTTTGTTCGTCAGCTTGTTTTAATAATTTAGCTACCTTATAATAATTTTGTTTTGCTTCATGAATTGATTCAAGTAATTTATTCCATGGTTTTTGTATATGTTCGAATTCTTTTTCAAATTCTTTTGATTTTTTATAATTTATTATTGATTTTTCATAATTATCTTTTTTCCATTGTTTTAATTTTGGTTGTATATTATCATTTAAATTTGATGCTATTGTTTGATGTATATCAGCCATTTGTTCACCTGTCGATACAATTTGATCCCAAACTTTTTTATTTGATGGATATTCAGATAATTTTGTTAATTCACCATGCCACTTTCTTGACCAAGAACGTAATGCATTAACATATGTATGTTCTAGATTCGATCGTTCTTCAAACATATTTGAAAGATGGCCAATTAATTCACTACCAAATTCATATCGATTAATACAACGCTCATATTGTAATGGTTCGAAAAAGCCATGACTTGGCGTGCCAGTCATTGATGCAGAAGTTGTATTCGATGCCATTTAGACACTAAACATTAATAGAGTAATTGAAAAAAAAAGTATAGGCACGTGTATATATGCGTGAAAAAATGAAATAGAGAAGACAGAAAAAATCACTACTTATAAAGGGTGTCGATGAAAAAGAACGAGCGAAAAAAACCGACGAAAAAAAAAGAAACCCATTCGTTGCTACTATTGACATATTCAAAATGAAATGATTGTATCAAAGTAAGGGGCGCAATTGTGTGCTCTAACAGTCATAATGTTATCTTTGCAGTTACTGTTTGCTATCAGTAGAAGTTAACTGTGAACTATTTTAAGCTTCTATTTGAAGTGACAATAATGTACTATTGATAGAAATTAGCTAAATTTTCAAACAAGTTTTTATTCAATATTTTTTCAGTAATCATGTTTCATTAATGATTAATAAAACGTGTTTTTTTTTAATACAAAAAAACAACATTTTATTTTATTAGAAATGAACTTGAAACGTGTGTATTCTTATCAGATAAAAAGTTGTTGACGAATATAACTAACAAATCTAATCTATGTATCATTTGATGATGCAGAGACCAGTGTTCGACATGAGGTCGCCATATTCAACGTGATTTGACCCGAGTCGGGTCAAAATTACGTTGATTGTTGCAACCTCATGTCGGACACTGGCAGAGACGTTGTTTTTTTTTGTATTTAGACAAAAAAATTTTATGTTAAAGAAAAATAAAAACATGGCGACATATCAATGATTAAGTATCTAAAGAATCAATCAGAAGTAAAAAAAAACTAAAAATAACAGTTATGGACAGAAATTTAAATCAACTCATTTAAATTCATGAATTAAATAAATTGAATTGAAATTAAAGAGCATCATAGAACGTGCATCCTGCAGGACACCGAATTCAGTAATTGATTGTGACTCAAGGAAGTGTTGATCTAGTAATGAAACTCATCGTGATTTTCCATTATTATCGGTAGTAGCTAGAAGAGTCGATGCCATACTAACGACTAGTGCTTCTATAGAAAGATAATTTAGTTTAATTGAATTGATATTTACTGGAAGACGAACACGCTTATCCACAAATTAAATTGTTAGTATATTAATTATTCGCTCATACGAAAGATTCAAGAAAATGTAATAAAAAAGAAACTTATCCCTTTTCAGTATCCATTTGTTAATTTTGATTACATTTTAAACTCACTATATTTATACTTGTTTTAGTATTGTTCCTTTTACCCTATGGATGCCAAATATTTGTTTGTTATTCATTTCATTTCTTCTAGAAAATGTGTGATAAGATTTATTAATATGATTATGTTGTAAACGATTTTTGTATAAATAGTGCATCTATGATATTCAACATCGTATTTCGTATACATGCAAGTTTTTTTCCTTGTGAAAAAGGCAATGAAAAGATCGTTCTATGGGTCAGTCGCACGAGGATCCATTGTCCTACAAGATGTGTCCTACCAAGAAGACCTTTTATATATCCTGTCTTTCGTCCTGCGAAACAAGATTACTAAGTGATAATATCCTACATATTACAGGACAGAACAAAGAAAACTGTTCTGTGACGCTCTCGGATTGAAACATTTACTAAAGATCTATGAATTCAATGTAACATCGAAATTTCTACTCGTTTTATCAAAAAGAAGTATTTTACAAAAAAATCTAAGAAAATATTATATTCTAATTTATTGTGTAATATTTTTGTTAAATTAGTTATCTAGATCTATTCGAATTCTATTCGTATCTCTATAGTCTTTAATTCTGTTCGCATAATATTATCACTAATTGTGTTCATTACCTACATAGTATGCTAATGTTGGTAATGTACCTAAGTCCTTAATTAACTGATGTATATATTTTTTAATTTGGCTCATGAATACATGGTTTTCCTCTTTACATATTGATTGAAATTCGTTCGACATCATGTGCTGGGTTTCTTTACAATATAGCTCAGTGTTTAAAATAAAAACAGTAACAAAGTCAACTGAATTGGAAAAGGTTGTTTCTTCGTTTTTGAAAACAAGAGCTGACCAGCTCTGAACAATGAATACCTCTGAAGTTTGTGAATAGTAGTTTTGGGCTTCTTGTTAACTAATCAGGAGTTTTTGAAAAAGAATATATAGTACTATTTCGAAAAAAGATACAACAATCCAAGTACATCTTATGATAGTCATAGCTATAGTTGTATTGTGAATATGTTTAAAAGAAAATACGAAATGCTCGGTTGAATTAGTAAAAAGTTTCATTATATTGACAACCTCCTACATTCTATATGTCTGAGTTAATATATTTTGTCACCTAACGATATTTCAATAGAGTTTCAAAGGGTTTACTGAATACAAAATGAAAAACAAATTTTTGTTGCCCTATAATGAAGCATCTGTACTAATACAATTTTTCGTTAATTTTTATGAAAATAAATATATATTTTTAGTATTAAAGGATGAGTTTAGTTGTTTCATATAGAGAAATGTAATGAATAAATAATTAAATTAGTAAATCCATATGATATGATAGCTTTACGTATCAAGTGTTGAATTACGTTTTCATTCAAGTATCACTACTGCACCAATAGTTCTTTATTGATGATGTCGACACAACTTGAATTCAAACTTTTCATCAAACGACATCTGTTCATGAAAACCATCTACTTCTATTTCTGACACTGGTGAGGAATGTATCCAACTATCGGATATTGCTCGATTTCATTTTATGGCTATGAATACGTCTCTATAACACTAAGAAAAACTTGAAATAATTTGGATCCACAACCTATCAATGACTAAAAGTTATGACTGTTTCAATGAAATTAGTACTGAGAGTAAAGTATTTTCGACAAATCCAAAATCAAGACTTTTCACCTGAAATTTTTTCTATACATAGATTTAATAGTCATTAAATAGCTAATAGAGTGTTAACGAAAAAAATAACATGCCTTTCTCAAAATATTCAACTTTCGACTAGACTAGATGATTGTGTCTTTCTTTAGTAAACTGTTGTTTGTTTCAAAATTAAATATCTCGAGAAAAACATATTTGTTTTCATTAACACTTCTTGAACTACCGAAAGACTGTTAAATCTTTGTATAGAAAAATTTTCAGGTCACTATTTCTGTTTTGGTTATTTCATAAATATATTGTTCGTAGTAAAACTTTCATAGAACACTCACAATTCTTCATTAGTAGACTATTATTCCTAGTCCTTTCTAGTGTTCCTTAGTCTGACAGGAATCTACTTGTAACTACAATATGAAATTGAACAGTATCCGTCAGTGAAATATGAGCCCCCAAGAAAATTCATCTAAGATATCCAGGTCATTATTGTCATTTGTCTTAAATGAAGGTAATCAAGAAAAATCGACGTTATCGTCACTTGGGAAATCAATTTTGTTCTCTCTTGTAATATCATATCCGTACATGATTGAGCTACTCTACAGAGCATATAAAACAATTATTAACAAGATATACGCATATGTTTTCTTTTATTTTCCATAGACTTGTTAGAAAATGAGTATTTCATTCTATTTTAATAAGTCACTTTTATTATCATTACTTCTACATTTTGTCATTGAGTGCAATTTGTTGTTTCTTTTTTTTCCCATTATCAAAAGTTGACGTTGTATGGTATCAAATATATTATTGTTCATTAGACATCTACATAGAAGTTATGGTACCTGACAATTATATATTTTCTTTTCTTTTTGGTTCTTCTCTTTTTCAAATTACTCATTTTTAAAAAATATTGCTTAATAGTCTTTTTGTTCTAGCTGATGCTTAAAACATGTAGGTGTTTAGTAGCAAAAGCAAAAAGAAAGGAAACGAAAAAAGTCGTCCCTACTTTGCTAATAAAAAGAAAGAAAGAGAAAAAATTCTTGCCCTTTTTGAAGTGATGATTTCTACTAAGAAAAGTTATTCTTAGTACTAAAAATTAGAAATAATAATAATAAGTATATTTGTCGTTTGTTTTATTATTTTTTTCTTTTGTAAAAAAGTCGACATGTTAATTTATAAAAAAAAGGAATAATTCATGTTCTTTTAGGATAAACATGGACGATGACATACAAGCAATTGCCATAGGTCTTGGTGCTGGACTAGGTGGATTTGCTGGCCTTGTACGTTTTTTAGTTCTATTAAAAATAAATCAATAATCAAGGATACATTCTGATTTAGTTACTCATTGGTTGCATTTGTTGGCAAATACTTTGTGGCTCGTAAGTTAAAATGAATATTACTTGATATTTTATTATTATTATTATTATAAATATTTAATACATAGTTGGTGTGAGAAGAAAAAAGTTCAAGCAAGAATAAAACCAATTCCAGCTAAAAATCAACGACATATAACAACAGTAACTAAAGCACATAATAATGTATCAACTATGACAGCTATGAAAAATACTAATGTTGATCCTGATTTAAAACCGAATCCTGCGAATGATTTAGCAAGTAAAGTCAAATCAGCATGTCGATGATATTCTAATGCATATATATAGGAAACAATTCGTTTTTTCTTTTGTAAATTTTGAGAGATCTTAAAAATAAACATTTATATTTATTAGCTATTTATAGACAAGTTTTGTTAGATCTCTTACGAAGCTTTACTTTTGAAATAAATGACTCAATTTTGTCTATCAATTTTAGTCTTTTGCTTAGCGATTAGGTTAAATTTTGTTGATGATTTATTTAATTATCAAAAGATTTGATTTGTGCACATGAACAAGTTTATAAACATGCTGAAACACAAGCAAAAAGAAGAAATATGTATTTTTATCATATTGAATATTTGAGTGAAACTTATGATCATCCATGTGTGAAGTTTCGAGAAGAAGCCTGAATTTTAATCAAGTGAGCTTTTCTATGTACAATAAATATATGCGTCTAAGACGAAGTTTTTATTTAAATATATATGGCATTAAGTTGATCTGGTATAGCTCTATAAACTGTATTCAAACGCTTCGTTTTATCGTCTATTTAAAATTCGTAACATATTCTCGAAAGAATAGAAAGTTTAAAAATCAGCTATGGATATTTTTTGAAAGAACTATCGAAATCATCAAAAAATATAATTTAGATGACTGTGATATTGATGCATCCAGACGTTTAAGATAATTTTTTAGAAATTGGGAGAAAAATAATATTCATTTTGAATCCTCTTTATTATTGTAAAATCCTTTTTGTTGTGAAATATATACTGAAAGAATTACAAAATTTATGAAAAAAAAGTTTAGATTCTCTTTGTTTCATGAACTAACCTAGTAGAAATCAAAAACGTTTTACTTTTACTCAATTTATTTTAATTGAGACATATGAAAAATATGACTAGGATTTCATTTGATGGCGCATAAGATTTAATAGAAAATAATATATTTACTGTTGGTTTTTGAACAATGAAGTGCCAGAAGTGTCTTCGTCTTTTGTTAAAAGAGAGTCTCTTGCGATTTGTAAAATATCTTCAACAGAGAATAAGATGATTTGATAAGGCATAACTACGAACGAATTACCCTCAACTAAGTTGGACGCAAGTTGCTTCTAATAGAAATTATGAATTTTCCAATTTATAAGCGAAATTTTCAATATTGCTCTTAAATAATAGTTTGCACCTAAGAAGCAAAATCATATAGGACTGAATCTTTTTACGGTACTTATTCGAAACAGAGATCTAAACAACCTGAAATTTCAATCTCAATAAGGTGACAATGGAGTTTATGCATACATACAAGTAGCAAAATGATTAACATCTTATTGCAAATGAATTTTACTAGGTTGAGGAAAAGAGAAAGGAACGTATTAAAATTTTTCTTATCAATAGTCTGGCTTGACTCGAGACCATTATAAAAAAAAAGTTGGTCAAATGAGCTTTTTCCCTTTGGTTTGTTGCTGGTTTTGAGATGGAACTTTTAGACGATTAGGACCACTGCTTCGAATAAACACAGTAAAAGATTCTGCTCTATTCACTTCGACTGAAGAACAACATTCAAGAATTTCTCTTATAACTTGAAAAACTAATTGTAGCCAAAAAAAAACCATAAATAAAATATTTCAGATATTTAATTAAAGTAAGCAAAAACTTGAATACACATATTTCTATTCTCAGACATTATGTATGTGATATAGCTTAATCGATCGTCTGAAAGCATTTTCAATGGTATTCGACACAAAAGAAAAGATCGCGATCTCACTTCTTGTAGGTCAAGATACTTTCTTCATCTTTCAACGTACCTTATATCCACTTTACGTACACTTGGAATAATTGATAAAGGTACTTAAGTCAATCTTTTCCTTATTCATAAACAGAAGATTGTGATTTATTTCATAATGTTAAATTCATAACAATTTTCTCTTGCATTCAATGTATGAATTGTTCACATTTTAGCGATATTTCTTTGACAGCATAATGGTGAACAGTTTGATGTTGTGCCTTTCTAAGCTCCGAAAAAGAGATTTAAAGTCTTACTTTGAACTATTTTGTGGAACTGTTGCCTTTGTTTTTTTTTGTTAATAAATTTTCTTACTTTCACGAAATTGCTATGTATATAAAGCTTGACACATAATAGAATGCGTTTTGCATTGTAGTGTGTGAAATTATTCTTGGAATACATGTTTCTATTTTTTTCATGCTAAAAAGTGTTTTGAAAAACTTAACAATATCTATTGAAATCTGTTTTGAAAAGGCTTGCTAGTTACATGCTTTCGATGTCAAAAACGTTGTCTTAGAGATTTAAAAAGAGTAAACGTGATATATATGTAATATATTTACTACTGATTTCTTTTAATTTTGAATATTTTTACTGAAATGCTTACTTCAATAGCTGTTATAATAATTATCGTCGTATATTCCATCCAATGGTATTACCAGTGATGACTTGAAACATTGAGCATTGCAGGGAAGGAGACGGAGGGCTCGCAATTTTTTGCGAAGAGTGAACATTGTTCTTCTCACAGTATATTAAAAAAATTTCAAGTCTATTGGGGAAAACCGAAATGTGTTACGATTGCAAGAGACGTCGCATCCCAGTATTCTTCGAATGGATCACCATTGGGTGTAAAACTAGAATTCGATGAAAAAAGAGAGGTGATCACGAGCAACAAATCAAACATCATTCAACAGTTTCGGTCCATGAGTCGAGGTAAATTCTTCAAAAGACCTACAGGTTTTTATTGAGATATCTTTCATTAACTTGCAATGAACATTTACACAAATCTCAGGAGATTCTTAATGACTTTTTGCCCATCAATTAGCTTTCATTGAAACATGATTGTCGTTCCAGTATGCATTGATTTCTCTCCGTGGTATTACAATAGTCGTCAAGATTATCGAGATAGTTTGAATCGGTCTTTTTCTGTCGAGTGCATGAGATATGGCTTATTTCTTATCGAAACTATTTGCTAAAGAGACGAAACTATACGTAATAAAGTTCTTTCTATACTGATAAAGGTGAATTTAGCTAAAAGTTTAATATATTGCAAAGTAAAGATTGGGAAAGATGGCAGATAAAGGAAACAATTGATATATTATATTGTAATAGGACCAATTGGTTTTAATCAAAATATTTTTCAACAGTCAAGAACAAATTATTTAGTGTTAATCACCACTGGTTTTTCGTACAATTATCTTCTTTGACACTTGTTACGTTGGGTAATCATTCCTAGGTAAATACTAAGTAATAATAATAAAATTGGATCAAATAATTTTCGATCAATCTCTTCATTTTACTACTGTTGATCTAGCAATAGAATAATTGTGATTACAGGCGCGTTGTGTACGAAATCATAAATAGAGAATTTTTTGTCTTTTTTTTTGAAAATGATGTTTCAGTTTTTTTTAACAATTCTTCCTCTTTTTTTCTCACTAACGGAGGCTTCACATTTTCTCGGTGGTTCATTTACTTATCGACATTTTCAACAACCTATTAATTACAAATTATACAAATTGGTTTTAGTTGAAATACGTTTTCATATATCCGATCATTATTTTATTTGCACACCTGAACAAGTTAATGAACATATGATTGTATATCTGATAGGTGAATCTGTTCCATATGATAAGATTAATAATCAATATCTATGGTATAAAACAGACGCAATCAGAAGAAATAAATATTTCTATAATATTGAATGTTTGAGTGAATCTCAAAATCATGCATGTAAGCATTTTCAAGAAAAAACTTGGGCATATTGTGAAAGTGCTAATGAAAATAGTGGTTATTCAATATTACGACGTCAATTTTTATTAATGATTGAAAAATATAAACCAATTCAACTTCGTTACGTATGTAAATGAATAATCATAATATTAATATTGTTCACTGTTGAAGTCATAATCGAATATCATTAAGTGCAATGTTGACTACAGATTTTTCAGCAAACAAAATAGTAAATAAAAAGACAATGTAATAGCTCCAACTAACAATGTTAGGAGACAATTGTTTTGTTCTGGTTTGAAAAAAAAACTTCAAAAGTTTTTTCAAGATAAAAATAACAGATTTCATAGCACTACATAGACGTAAGCACTTTAAAATCACCTGTTAATTCTCTTTCTGTATATGTTTTGCTCGCATATTTCATGAAAAAATATTTTTCTTACAGTCGTCTTGCTGTTGGGCGAATTCATCAGATAAACACTTTTATTTTGATTTATCTATTGAAACAAAATTAAATCGAAATAATTCATCACCTTATCCATATATACCAACATCGTATTATGTTGATTTTAATAAACCAAAAGCAATAAAAATATTTGTCTATGATGCTGATGGTAGAATCAATATTTTTTTTGTTATCAAATCAATAAACTTTGTTTTATTTAAAATAGATGATGAAATTGTTTGCGAACGATTTGAAGAAGATCTTGGTAGATTTTTAACAGTAAATGTTGATAATAATTGTACATTGACTTATCAAACAAATCGATTTGGTAAACAATTTGGTCAATTTTGGTTAATGGATCGAAATAAAAATCAAATTCTTTCACGCTCGTTAATTAGTATTCAAGTATTTGTTTTAAAAGATATTATTTGTAATATACAACCTGAAATTATTGTTGAAAGTAAAGAAGATCGATCTAATATGTCTACAATCAGAATAAAAGAATCAGTTTATATAAGCGTTAGTTTGAATCCTAATTGTCTTTTAATTGAACCTCAAGATCAAACAATAACTGAACTAACAACATTATGTACGAACAAACAACCAGTTGTTTTAGCTAATGGTGGTATTGAAGTTATATTTGAATGTTCACCAACTTTATGTGAAAAATATCAAGTATGTTTTGTCGGTGAATTCGGTCTTAAGTTACCATCTACTGAAATTAAATGTTTTTCAATTGAAATTATCGGTACTGGTATGTTATTCAATGTAATATGCAAAAGAGTTTTCGAATGATCATCTATTCTAAGCATAAAATCCAAGTATAAGCAGCTTGCTTTCAACTCAGACAAAGAAAATATGTGATCGGGAATTTTTTATAATTATCATTTTTTTTTTCACAGGGGATGAATGTGCACATGCCGTAAGCAATTATCATTTTCTGAAACCTCACAATCGCCATTTTATCATAGCAGAGCCTATTACTCAAAAACAAAGCGCAACAATATCAACAACATCGTCAAAATCATCGCCATCAAAATTATGGAAGACAACGACAACATTACCACGATCACATTCGAGAGTATCATTATCATCAGGATCTAAATTTCGAAGCTGGATGTGGATTTTAGTTGTTCTTATATTTTTTCTTTTGATTGGATTTACTGGATATTTCGGTTTTAAGCACATATTACGGACATTTAATCGATATTCTTTGGACAGCGATCAATTTCATTCATCGAGTAGAAGCGATAGCCGTACTACTATTAAATCTGATCTGGTCGCAATATATCCTGATATGAAACAAATCAGTACGTCCAGTGCTCAATATAATCAGTATGACAACTCGCCAGATTTGTCCCAAAAAGCAAAAGTTCGAGCGCAGCGTATTCAATTAGGAACATTACTTGAAGATGACTAATACGAGAAATAATCAAATAATTTTTTTTAGATGTATAGCTTATTTTATATATCTTGAACTTTACAACATCTAAATAGGATAGATCTAATTATTACAGAATTATTCACTTTATATAATACAAAGGCAACATATTTAGAAATGTTGATTTTTAGCTAATCAGAATAACAAACAGTTCCATCATGGTCATTGCGATAAGGTGTTTATAGACACCATATTTGTGTAATACTCTTTTCGTGTACACGTCTCAAACTACTTGTTCGTCGATGATCTATGCATTCTGAACATCATCGCTCGTGATTCATGTCATCGATGTTCATTCTTTTATGTTACTATATGTCAGAGATGTCCACCGCGGCTGAAAATCTGCCGCTGCCGCGCCGCGGACTTAGAAAAAAAAACTGCCGCACCGCAGCCGCGCCGCGACGGTCTATAAAAAAATGTTGCCGCGGCGCTGCCGCGCCGCGATGACTTATAAAAACAACGTTGCCGCGATGAATTATAAAAAAAACGTGCCGCCGCCACGGCGGTCTACAAAAAAGTGTTTCTAATTTCACTGCTGCGACTATATTTCACCAGAGATATTGGTACTAGTCCATCAGATTCATTCAGTCTAGGGGTGTTTCCTTTGTAAACCCTGAAATTCTATTAAATTCATGCAGTTTTTCAATGTTCCCCAAAAAACTCCTGCCGCTGCCGCGATGGTCTTTTAAAAAACCTGCCGCTGCCGCCACCGCCACCGCGTCAGCGGCAGCGCCGCGATGGACATCTCTGCTATGTGTGTGCTTTGCTTCAATTGGTATCTTTCTTCATAAAAGGCTATTCGTAATCAGAACTATGCTCTTTAGATCCTGTAATCAGTAGAGGGGTAAATAAACCGCAAACATTTCAATAACTATCGAACACAGCTAATGCTAACATTGAAAGGAAAGTAAGCAAAATGAAGTAACGGATAAACGAATTTTGATGCATTCACATAAATTTTCGATAGCGGAATTATCGGTAACAACTAAAAAGATTAACAGAATATTACGCATGACTTATTGAAGACCATAAACACTTCTAGGCTATTGGGTCATTATGTTTTGTGCTTATCTTTTATTCTACTTTTGTCGAGAAAAAGACTTCTATCACTGATTTGTTAAAAAAGGAAGTAATGAATGAGGCAAATATCCAGAGTGAAATAATAGATGTGATACTCTTGTTTGTAAAAAAAAATGATAGCTTGTTCATATGAGATCTTGTTTGTTTCTGTTAGCAGTTCCGCTCTCACGATGTATTGTCTTACTTTCATCTCTTACTATTTTGTCTTTGATTTCATATAGATCGACATTTGCGCTTCTCTCTCTCTCATTTGTCTAGTTATGATATCATTCTTTTCCTTCGATGTTATATTTTTCGATCACTTCATCTTCTTTTCTGTTGGATTCGTTTTTCTCTTTCGTTTACCCTGGATGTCCAAGATGATATATATGCGCATCTCTCTCTGTTCCAGTTAGTCTGATGTAGTGTAGTTGTTATGTGCATGTGTGTTCGTATGCTTCTGTTAGATAAAATAAAAGAAGTATCAATCAACAAATTCCTAACCCTAATAGTTTCTATGCCTGTTTTTGATGAACAATTGATCAATCTTATAAATCTTACAAAAGTGAAAAAAAACGAGACACCTGACAGTAGAAGAGAACCTAAAAATGAAAAAATGTTGTGCTCTCTTGTTTTAGACTTAAGCGACCGCAGCCATGATATTGATATTAGAGATATTCATTAAGGTTTCTACCGCCTGGAATACTTTTGAACTCAATCTTAGAGACACACTCAAATATGTTCCCTCGTTAGATTCTAATCAATTATTTATTTTAGATGAAAAGTTTTGCCTAAATATTATTAGTCTATTTTATTGTCTTCAGAAAGACAAAAATGCGTCATATTAAAGTATATGTCAAGGACGATACCAAAGAATATATGAAAGTACCATTCTAATTTTCAATTCTATTTTTACTGTTATTTACCATATGTTTTATTGGACGATCTTATAAATATAGGAGTCAATAGGATTTTTGATTTCAAACTGAGTTCTGCAGAAAAAAATGACGATCGATTTTTCCGAACATGGAGGTTTATGGAGTCTGAAAAAATAAGTCTCTTTCCGAACCGAACAACTAGGGAGAGGCTCTACTTACAAACAAAAATATATCACGGATAGCACTAATCATCGGTCAACGACACTCATACTCATGTTACAGAAAGTTCAGACTAAGGGATTATTACCCAATGACATTCGAGTTTCATCTCTCACCTTTCAGGACGTAATGCCTCATAAAGTTGGAAAGTTGTCGATCGTGATATGCGACTACATGCGCCCTTCTTTCTCAAGACTTTGGGTATAAAGAATCCTCAGAATTATTCGTATGAATATTCATGTACTGGCACGCATCCAATAAGAAAGGGGAGAGGCAGACATTCATATAAACCCGTATGATTAATTCTAAAGACTCCCTAGACTACTATTTCATTTTGAAATCGAGTATTTTTAATTTTAAATTCAGATTAAAAATAAGCACCCCATTGTATAGATGTTATGCATTAAATTATTTACCGGGTAATGCTTGTTTTATGATAGTCTCAAAGCATAGTTTGAGAAAAATCCAAAAACATCTTTTGAACATTTTCACTATTATATCTAGTTGAGTTTGAGAGAATAATTGTCAGTTATTAGATAAGTTCGAAAGTACTCAATGAGTTCTATCGAATGGTATCTGATTGACATATTATCAAGTATGTCATTGCCTACACAAGCTTTTTTCCTAAATAATCCCTTTTTTCGTATGATAAATATTTGTAATTTGTATTTATTTTTTTCTTTGAGAAAGTTCGAACACTGAAAATATCAAAATGGACGCGCTCAGATTTAATTATACTTGTGACAAGAACAACCGAAAATTATCGGTCATTTTGGCAATGATAGCTACCTTCTGGCCACAAATAATAGAATGACAAAATAATATAAAATATATACGGGAACAAAAACTGTCAACAAACCTATAAGAAAGTTTTTTTTATACATAAATATTTGAACCACTACAAAAAAAGGGTAAGTAAATAGACACAGATAGTAAAGTCGCATATGGCTCTTTTTCCTTCTTTTTCTCAATTACTCTTACTTATTTCATCAAGTGATGTTTTAAGTATATTTTTGATTATTTTATTCTGTTTTACTTGTGAAATAAAAATGCTCAAAGCAATAGCATTTGATTATAGATCAAATAAACGATATTCTGCAAAAAAGAAAAAACATTTAAAAAATAATCTTATTATGTAATTAGTATGCAGAAGCAAAACAGTGCAAAATTAGAAAACAATCAACAAGTCTAATTTAAATAACAAGAGATATCTTCGCGAAACGTACATGATACATTTTTGGTATTCGTGTGATTCGAGATTTAATGATGCGATCAATATGAAAAAATTCATCGATATTTTCACATTTCTCGAACCATTTCGATTTAATATGACTCAAATCAGAATTATTATTGGTTTGCTGAAATAAATACAATAAAAATTGTTTTTTCACAGTCTGTATCGAATTTATGAGCAAGCAAATCCAATAACTTGAACGTTTATAAATGGCATATGAAATCTAATCCTTTTGTTGTTTGAAAATAAAAGTTTTACATCTAAAAATATTTAGTTTTAACAGAAAAATCACATGACATAGAAAAATAATTTATGTTATATATTGAAATGAAACAGTGGTCTATCGATATTCAGTTATTTAACAATTATCGTACAATATAAAACAGAAATTGCACTAAACGAAAGGACTGGGATCCTCTAGAGTACAATAAACGTGTTACGTGAGAAATGTGGTCTAGACTAATTCCTAAAGAGTAGCGGCGATTTGTCTAAAATTCATATTTTAGAGTTTTCTCGGCATCATTTCTAGTTTTACTTCTTGAAAGTTCTATGTAAAACCTCTTGAAATAGAGCTTCTAGGAAACCCTGGTTTTGTGACATCGTGATTCTGGAAAAATTTTTTAAAAATGGAGCGACGGAAAAATTATGTGAGTAGTATATTCGAACCAGCTTCGAACGGTGAACATTCAGAAAATAATTCAAGTTTTCAATTAAAAATTTGAAATATCTTACAAGGGAACACACATTTGAGTGTTTCCCTGAGATCGAGTTTAAAAATATTCTGTCCTATAAAAAAACTTGATGAATATCTCTAATACCACTATTTTAGCTACGCCGGCGTAGATCTGAAAAAAAGAGAGAATAAAACTTTTTCACTTTTAGGTTTCCCTTTACGATGAGGTGTATCAGTTTTTTCTACTTTTGTAAGATTGATAAGACTGGTCAATTTTTCATAAAAGACGCATAGAAACGAACAAGATCTGATATGAAAGAACTATATTTCTCTCACAAACTAGAGTTTTATATCTATGGTTCTACCCTAAGTATTTATCTGATTGATCACTCCCTTATGTCAACAATTCAGTGATAGCTACGAGTTTTTTTTCGACAAAAGTACAATAAAAGATATAGACGAAACATGATGTCCTAATAAACTAAAGGTGTTTATGATCGACAATAGAAAAGTACTGGAGACATAAAAGTTCATTGTAGCAGCTACAAGATATGAAGTTGTCTATATCACAGCCAGCCATAGAACAGCTATCAGTGCTGAAGGAAGAGCAAATATCTCGAACATTTCCGAGTTTTCGAGCACCTTGATTGATATATCCGTACAAGTACCAGACATACTTGTTCATTGAAGAAAATCAATGAGAAGAAGATTGGTTACGAGAGTGTAGATTCGAAATATTATCTCTCGATTATAGATCAGCTTTTAATTGATCGATTGCTACACGATTAAAACACATTTCATAGAGATATTTCCCTTGTTGGAAAAGCACTTGTCGCAAAGTCGAATGGCTGTCTTTGTCTTAGGTGCTATGTACAAAAGCTCATATGTAATGTTCTGGTCGAATGTTTCATCCAAATTTGCAGGATTGGTTTGTTCAGACAATGAATCCATAAAGAATATGCAATTTACATCGGCACATGACCATAAAACTTCGTTTGTCCAACACTGAGTTTGAAATTTCGTCAGTTTTCTCAATTTACTACATAGAACCTGAATGTTTCGAGCTTTGTACATAGGCTGTGATAGGGTGTGAGTGTGGGTCTTGGCGTTTCCTTTTCTCAGACCTGCACCCAGATAAATGCCTAGGATGGAATCATAGATATGAAACTCTTGTTTGTGAGTGAAAGATACCTCTTTCATATCAAATATTGTTTGCTTATATGCCTTTTTCATGAAAAATTGATCATCCTTATAAATCTTACAAAAGTGTGAAAAACGAGACACCTGATAGTAGAAATAAACCTAAAAATGAAAAAGTTTTATTT